TGGCCGGGAGGCGACTCCACCCCCGCGGGGTGGGCTCTGTTGCTGCAGACATCGCTCCTGCAATACCAACACTGGCAAGCAGACGACGGGCTCCTGCCGCTGCTCGCCTTGCCCATCGAAGGGGCGGGTATCTTTCGAGTGCCCTCTAGAGTTTTGGAGCGTAACTACAAGTGACATATTTTGACTCTTTGATTTTAAATGATTTGCATCCGAACTCTGAATCCCACCACCACCACTTTATCTGACCTGTTTGACAGGCAGCAAGGAGAGGACTTTTAAGAGAGAACCCACTTTTGGGCAAAGGCGTCCTTTAGTCATTCTTCTCTGTGTTTGGATCCCACAATTCCCCTCCCCCCTCTTTTCCAAATGGATTTGCTTGGGATTGGAGGTGAGAAGATCAAACCATAGGTGGTGGTTATTATTATTTTTCAAGTTGTGGTAGTTCATACCTGAAAACAGTTATCTGTGTTGGCCTATTTTCTCTTGAAACCTTTGAGGTTGTTTGAGAGTCCCGTGAGCTCTTGTGTTCAGTTGTGTCTCATATTTTCAAGATGAATGCCATTGCTTTCTTTGAGCAAAATCTTTATATAGTAAGTCTGTTTGCATTCTGAAAACTTTACATTTACTGGTCCCATTCCCTTCACCTTACTAGGAAGAATTTGGAATCCCTAAATGGCAAAGTTACTTGGCAAAGGCCACCCTAATGGAAACAACTACAGACCTATTGCCTGATACTGAAAACATTAGTAGTTTTCAACATAGTCTACATGGAGGATTATTTAATATCCTCTAAAGAATCAACTGGTGATATTCCAGTATCCAGAACCATAATTCAGTGGAATGACATTGAGAGTGATGCTTGTGAGAGTTTAAATATTGGTTTTATATTTAAATAAATGGTTTATAAATAAGACCATAGGAAGCTGATTCTTAACTGTCAGAATTATTTTACAATTATAGATGTGTCAAATAATTTCATGGGCGTACAAATTAGATGGTAAATCTATCTTAATAAAAAAGGCCTCTAAATTTGGATAGAACATTGTTAAAGTTTTATCTTTAATGCTAATGTGAAATCATATGAAGGTTAATGTACATGTTATTGTTACAGTTCAGTTACATATTAGGCCAAGGCCCTGCTTGACTTTTTAAAATCTTTTTTCTTAATCTGAATTTCTTACTCTTAAATCTACCTATTTTAGCAGTATCGTAGATAACAAAGGATGAGTTCCTTTTACTAGCATTATTGTTTATTTTGCTCTACCCATGCTCCAAAGTGGACTACTAAAAATAGCTGTTGCAGCCCTAGTTGAGTTTTAACTGAGTTTTAAAAAAACTCAGTTATGTAAAAAAAGAATAGATGTATTCCAAATAAAAATGGGAAGAAACACTTTCATGCTTTATAGTTTTTTTTTTAGTGTGACATACAAAGCCAGTCTTTCTATAATAGTTACAAGTGGGCAAAGTATTTTTGCATGTATGCAAGTCTTCCTGCAACGTCCTTTAAAATTACTACGTGATATGAGATGGGGAGTTTGAAAATTTTCTTATTTTTGCTTGAATATGAGTGTAGAAGCTGACGTGATTTATATCTTTGGTTTGGTTATTCTTACATGATTTCATTATATTATGGGAACTTCTTGAATAGAAATAGCTTGCAAAGATTAGTTGGTCATACAAAATGTTCAATTGAATATTTAACTGAAAGCATAAATAGGTTGGTGCTGTTTGCATTGTATCAAATAATCACTTGATTTGTTTTGTTAGTTTTGGTTTATTCAGTAAGTCATTAAACAATCCAACAATTTAAACTGAATGTAGCTTTGTATTTAAAATAAGCTTTAAGTTTTGGCATTTTCACATAGAGTATCAAAACCAAATGAATATATTTATGCAGAAATCAAGCATAGGTCTACTGGAGATCCTGAATATCTAAGGTTTAATTTTTCAGTAGTCTTATTCTACTAATTCTGTTCAAAAATTAAGTGAATGCCAGGCAACATAAAAATTTCATAGAAAGTCTCTTCTGACTTATTGAACATGTAAAAATAAAACTCCTCTCCACTTTTTACTTACTTTTTAAGGCAGGTTATTTGTTTCAAAATAAAACTTTGATTCTCACTTGAGAATTTATGCTGTACACAGTTGATTCTCTTTATTCTTCCTGTCAAAAGGAATAGTTAAACAGACCTGAATGATTTTGTGCAACATGTGTGAACTGGTTAGTCTATCTTGCTCTTTTCTAAGAGATAAGAATTATAAGTAATTATTCGTTCTTAAAGTGATTCTGGCTTAACAGAAAAGGAATAAAGCAGAATTCCTAGTTCTCATATAAAGATAAATAAATCCCAGACAGACATGAACAAAAATCAATATAAAACTATACAGCACCCGAATCTATAAACAGTTGGTTCTTGCCATACAACCACTTCTTCAGTGGTGATTTGGAACCACGACAGTGCTGAAAAAATGACTTATGACACTTCCTTGAAGCTTTAACCATTGAACCACCCTCATGGCCACACAATTTAATTATCTTGGCAGCTATCTTGCATTTATGGAGGTTACAGTGTCTTGCAATCATGTGATCATGATACAATATGTGTTCTTCCCAGCCAGCTTGTGACAAAGTCAATGGGGAAACCCAGATTTGCTTAACAACTTTATGATTCACTTAATTGTGATTAGTGACCAAAATTCTGGTCCCAATTGTGGTCATACATTGAGGACTACATATACTCTGTTTCTTCAATTTGAGTTATTCCTAGTCCTGCTGCTTATTGTCCATCTTTGCACACATGCACTCTCACAACCTGGAGTAACAATTTATTTGCTAATATCAGCTCTAGTTTTAAAAAAGGTACTCTCAATACTCATATTACACAATGAGATGGATGATCTATACATTTAATAAATAAAAATGTTTTTTTTAGTCTTTAAGGTACCACAATTGACTTTAGTTTTAATTATAGAAGGAAAAATTCTACCTATGACTCAAAAAAGTTCCACTCAATTGTAATAACATGTCCTTGTTGAAAGTGGGCAAGATAGCACTGTTTCATTCTTATAGGTACTATAGATAAACAACGTTCAGTGCATAGAGCAGCTGTTTTCGGATTTCTTGATCAAACTGAAATGCGCTTTTTAGAAGTTTTAGAAGATGCCTAGAGATAGGAAGGCCTGGAAAAAACTCGGAAAAATTGGGGGACAACAGGGTTTTTCTCGGATGTGCTGATGTGAGAATCCAAAGTATTGGTTAATTCCACCTTCTTTCTATTTGGATTCTCACTCAGCACATCCGGAAGGAGCATGTCAGGTAAGACCAACGCCCTTTGTCTGTTGTCCCTGCCCCGCCCCAATTTTTCCTAGTTTTTCCCAGACTTTCCCATCTCTAGCCATGCCTGAATACAAAGATACTGACTGGAGAGAAAGGGAAGGTGAACAGGTGAACTGGAACATAAGTCACGTGGAGAGGACGATGAGACACCCCAACAGTGCCCTACTTGCCTTATGAGACTTCTCCATATATTTTTCTGTCAAGACAATAATCAAAATGGGTCTTGATTGTGCAGAACTTCAAAGTCATACTGAGGGCTGCAAGATCCCTGCAGTAAGAAGAGGCATACTAAGTGTGAAGAAAGTAGGGAGGAAGCAATGTGCGCAATTCTTCTTCCATAAGCTCACTCTAAGATACTCCAGATAAAACCAGAACAACCAAGCATTCTGCATTTTGCTTTGGCTAATCAAGAACACTTCAGCAGAACCTCCAAGAAACTTGTTTGTTTCATGTTCAGGAAAAAAAAAGTTTTCAAATCTGTTATTTAAACAAGCCTGAGAGGTGGTGACTGGCCAAAGATCACCCAGAGAGTTGCAAGCATAAGTAGGAACTTAAAAATGAGATTTATTGTTATAATAGTTGGTCTACTATTTCAAGTTTAGCTGAAACTTCTAGAGCAACATAGATGTTTATATTAGAAGCACCCACTAATTTTGATAAGTCTTACTCTAATTATGAACATATACTCATATATTTATATTTTTAGCAAACTTTAGTTTACGTACACTCATGTTTAAAGTTACCAGACAGCATGGTAATTATATGTAAAAATATTAATTGTCTCATTGCTCTTTGAATAGAAATTCACGAATAAGTCGGTGAATTGCTCACTCCGTTTGAAGGATTTGTAGTGTTCTTTTACATCTCCTTTTTAGATGTAATAAACATTTGTTTTTGTTCCAGTGTCCACTCAAGTCAGTTGATTGTGTTTGTGAATTTATGTTGTTTATATTCATTTATATATGCACTTATTTATGAAATTTATATGGCACCTCAATCCAAAGGACTCTACACAGTTTACAGTAAATAATAAAATATAATAATTATAAAATGATACAATAGAGTTAGAGCAATACTTGAGCTGGTATAGGCTTAGAAAAATAGTTTCTGAACTTCCTCAAGTTTGGGACTAAATTTATATTTAGTTTATTTTAAAAAAAATTAAAGCAGTGCTAAAACTTCTCCATTAGGAAGAATCAATCACAAAACAACAATATAAGAAACTTAATGTTTGAGAGGCCTAAAGGCAAAGCCCACAAAAATGCTCAGTTCATTGATATATTACCACAATATGTGCATATTTTCTGTCAACAGTTCTCACATCTAATGGGCTACCAATATAAGCATATTAGCTACATTACAAACGTGTCACAGACACAAAGCAGAAATTAAAAAGTACATGCAGTTAAATCATTTAAATTGATATGTCCAGTCAGCTTTTTATGGAGTGTTCAGTGCAGGCCTAATGGAAAAGGGAGAAAGCAAGTGGAATGAAGAGCCAGTGACTGGACTGGCCTTTTGTGAATCCTCTCTGGACAAGGAGAGAAGACTTGATTATCCTCAAGTGCTCCAGACAGTTTCTCCTCATGAGAATACTGCAAGTAAGCAGACAATGGCGATTTTAGATATCAGGGAGATGAGGGAACATCATGTTACCTCAAACCATGATTGGTACTTTTATGGATCAGAGTTTGCATACTTCTTTTTTTCTAATCTAAACTTTTTATTAATCACTTTTGGAAATTGCTTGTTAATTGCTTGTTTTGCTTTTCAGCTGAAAACTCTGAAATCTTTGGAACAATACGTTTCATAGCATCAGTGAGTTTCTTTCAATCCTTAAGGATTAAAAAATATTTCTCTTAGATTATAGCAAAAATATGATTGGAAAATTGATTTTGAAAAGTTATGGATGGACTAAAAGTCCAGATGTTTGAAATATGATTTCAAAATTAATTATAAGAATCCTTCATGTAGGAAAATACTGTTTGGAGGGAACCTGAAGGTACTAAAGATTACAATTAACGGAAGAACACTTAAATTTCACTTATTAATTCCAAATATGTCTGCCATTAGAGACTTTTTAAAGAACTTTATGAAACAAGTTTTACCAAAACAAGATTCAGAATGATAGGAAGGGGATTTTAAAATGAGAGGTTATGGAGATATGGAAAAAAATTCTATGCTGGACATAGAAAAGATGTTAGCTGATGGCTTAGTAACTAAAACAAAAGAAATATAGAACTAAGAACAAAAAGTGTGATCTGGATATGTTTTCCAAATTGAATTTACAAATGATACTTATAGGTTTTTGAAGAATTTATGTGAAAGGATAAAGAAAAAAATGAAATCATGTTCTAGGACATTATTGAAGGTTGAAAATTAAAGATCAAGATTGTAAAAAGTAAAAGGACATAAAGTTGGTTTATTTGATCAAATATGTTATCTCAGGTAATCTTTAATGGATTTTTGTTGACCACGACTGAATGACAAGATTTTTAAGGAGTTGTTTTTAGATAAGAGATAAGATATGAGAAGAAGAGACAAATTGTTTTTTTTAAGAGAAGGTGCTAAGTTATTAAAATTATTTATACTTGTGATGAAGGGGAACACATTTATTTATATTTTTATTTACTATTCCCTTAATTTTTCTGTCTTTTCTATTTTTCTATTTCTTTTTTTAACTTTACATTATTTTTCTTTGTTTGCATTTTTATCTATCCTAATGGATTCTTGTATCTACATTACCTGTCCTAATGGATTCTTGTATCCATCTTGTATGAGACTGAAGATGTATAAAAATAATGTTAAATAAATCTAAAGTTGAGAAATGGCCTTAAGCCATTTTTTGCCAATCGTCCAAAGTAAATGAAGAAGCACTATTGTGTGTATAGATATATTATGGGCATATGTATATGTACACACTCACAAGCATACATATAAAATTCACATTTTAGGGTTAGCACAATCATGTGATAGCTTATTAACTTGATTATGTGCCACAGAATTTGTAACTTATGGCTCATGTGTTTAAAGTACCTTGTTTCCCTGAAAATAAGACAGGGTCTTATTTTATTTTGACCCCCGAAATAAGCACTTTGCCTTATTTTCAGGGAGGTCTTATTATTTTTGAAGTGGTCACCTCATGGTTGCTGCTGTGTTGCAATATTTTTGGTGAGGGCTTATTATCGGGGGAAGTCTTATTTTTGGGGAAACAGGGTAGCTTGGCAAAATATGTACATTGATGGTAATTGCCTTTTGGGTAAGAATGCGTTAAGGATGCTTTTTTAACTGATACTTTTGCTGTCATTTCATTCTGATGAGTGGAAGATAGCCCATTTGGAATTTGAAATATTCCATGTCCCCAGTTCTATCATACATGAATCTTCAGATATGTTTGGAAATATTGCTTGTTCATGTTTTGTAGATAGGATAGTAGCAAAAATAGTCTAGACTCTAGAACAAAATGTTGCTGTTTTTTTAGATTTGTATAAATGCTTTCAGCCTGTGATGTTGCAGATTTTGAAAAAAACCTGATTATGAATTCCTGAAGAAGCTTGTTGAAATATGTGGAACTAAATACTAGGATTTTTAGAAATTGTCATTATGCCATTGTTGTAACCTAAAATTAATGAATATAATAATGTATTAAAGTTCCATGCTGCCCAACTCCCAATAACTCCTTTTCTCTCTGTATAGAACAAATATATACTAAATAATAACTTCCTTGGCCCACTTAATCTTATATAAAATTACATTAAGAGGGATAGGGTAAAAGTAATTGGTGCCAAACAGTATAAAATACTTCCTTTGCTGCTTCTTTAATATCGCCATATCTTCCCGTAAAGAGAGCTAAACATTAATCTTGCAACTTGGTTTAGTTGTGAAAGGATATGAACAAGTGGGCAGGCAAATGAATATTACTAGTAGCAGAAACACTTTACTGTTTCAAATAGTTCATTTATGTTTGAGATATAGGAACTGCTGTACATTGAACAACTTCAGGGTAAAGATGGGCAATTTTGTGCCTTTTAAATAGAGAAATGTTTTGAAGGAAATTTAGTATGTGGTAGAGAAATAAGAATAAATAAAAATAAGGCCATAATCTAAGCTGATAAATATTTTACTGAACTGCATAAAAATAACAGGGTTAAATTACATGAATGAACCATTTTCTTTTCTCAATATTTATGGCCTAAGCAAATCTATCTTTTGCTATTAGATCTTTAAATATATGCAGATGTTGGCCAACATGAGGCTTCAAAAGCCATTTTTTAAGATGTTAGTTTAAAAGAAAGTTTTAAAAAATCAACACTGAAATTTTTGGTTGATGATAACATTGAGGAAAATAAAATATGATCATGTGACTCCTGCTTTTTAAAGGAAGATAGTAGTGTATCTACTTTGGGAAATGTTGCTTGCAATGGGAAATATGTTGATGTAATATTTCTATGACATTTTCTGAGATTCTGCTGAGGGTGAACTTGACTATACTGTTCATCTCAACAGCCATCTTGCTTTTGAATTGTTTTTAAGGATTTGAAAATTCTTAAAAAGGATTTTGGCTGAAAATTAAATTACTTTGTATAATTATATTGTCAATTATATTGTCATCTTTCATGGCAAATTTGCATTCTCAATATTTGTTAAATCTATTTCAGGATGCTTATTTTCAAAAAAACATTTCCAGCTTGTCTAGAGAAGTAAGCAAAGTTCCCAGGATCAAAAAGGCATTGGAAAACTTTAACTTTACAAATTACTGGATGTTTTTAAATAAGTAAGTATTTGGATTTGAAATACATTTTTTAAAAAAAATATTAACTGCTTCAAGCAGTCAATTGAATGGGGGAAATTAAATATAAAATTAAGTAAATAATAAGAAAGAGTTGCTATAATGCTTTTAATGCTATAAGTTGCGCATGAAAGTAGGAACTGTCATGTCTTGGCTGCAAAAATACAGATAACTAGGTAATAGGAGTGGGACTTTTTTTCATTCTTTTACTGTTATCTAGTATCTATCTAAATTTGGGTTGTCTAGATATGGTATATCTATGTAAAAGCCAGAATTTTTGAAAATGTTAGTTTACTGTCACTTACCAGATTGCTGATTTATACAGAAATTGTTTCAGTAGATTATAAGTAGTTTGATATAGCAATTAAATTATTGGACTAGAACTGGGAGACTATGTTTTCTAGTCCTTAGCATGAAGCCACTAAGGAGTGTCTTAGAACACTAGTCATTCTCTCTCAGCCATTGAAAGAAAAAAAAAGTAGTAAACTACTTTTGAAAATATTGCCAAGAAAACTGCATCTCTCTAGTTGCCAGGAGTCAAGACCGACACAAAGCTGTAGATGAATGGATAGACAGACTGACGGAGGGATGGACGGACTGCTGGATGGACTGACCAACCTTTATCAATTCAAGATTTTATTGGCAAAAGTGGATTGGACCCATACAAACCCTAACTTTGATTTGATTTGATTTAAATACATACAATATAATCATTGGTGTGGCAGGAATATACAGACCAGCTTTTTGCCCAAACCTGATGTCACAGACTGAGAGAGATGACTCTCCCAAAGTCACCCAACTGCTCAATTTAGTAATGCCTAAAGTGGAATTACAACTCAAAGACTCCTGATTTCTACCTGGTGTCTTAACTACTAGAACAAACTGGATTTTCTCCAGTATTTTTAATTATTTCATTTCATTGATAAGATAAAAATTTGAAGAAGCTTCATATATCACATCCCAGAATTTGAGGGAAGGGACATATGGTCCTAGGACTTCAGATTTAATTAACCAAGAGAAACACAAGCTACTTAACAGCTTTGATTGTAATGTGGGACTAAGAATTTGCTTTTACTATCCTAAAAAGTCATGGTTTGTTTTTTGGTTGTTAGATTCCAATTTATGCTTTGTTTTCAGAGAAACAGTTCAGTTTCTGGGTTACAGGAGTTGCTTTTTTAATTGAGCCTTGCTTTGCAATAGGAGATAATAGAGCACTGGGCATAGTCATTCAATACAATGCTTTGTTTTATTTTGAACATATTTAAATAAATTAAAGGAAAGATGGTACTTTGAAAAATAATTAAAAAATCTAATCAGGATGTTATAGTGAAACTGCTTTCTCTTTTTGTAACAGTTTTTCTGGAAGGCCAGAAGGTAGCTGAAAATTGGCGTTGTCTGAACCTACATCTGGTTTATAAGGGCTTATCACAATGGCAACTGGCCTAGCCAATGTAGGAAGCTCTTTTGGAGGTCCATCTAATTCTCTGGTGTCTAGATCTAAGTTCCAGAGTACCTCCGTAGAAGATGATGATGATGTTGTGTTTGTTGAACCTGTACAACCTCCACAAATCTCTACACCATTAATAACAGAACACAGAAATGTTTTTAATTCATCCAGTAATGAAGAGCAACATGGAAATGACCCTAAAATATCAGCTTCGTCAAAAGACACGAGTGCTCAGAAGGGAAGTATAACTGAGACTATTATTATTGATGATGAAGAAGACATTGAAACAAATCAGGGACAAGAGAGAAATGATTCCAGTTTCAATGAAAGAAGATTTCCAGAGGGTAAAAACAGAACCAATGAAATGGAATTCTCAACATCCAGTTTTTCAAGAAGTAAGGTAAATGCAGGAATAGGTAATAGTGGTATAACCACAGAACCAGACTCTGAAATTCAAATAGCTAATGTTACTACATTAGAAAGAGGTATGAGCTCTGTGAGTGTTGGCCGTTTAGAAAATACTGAAGGGCGTGACATGAACTTAATGATAACACATGTAACATCACTACAGAATACCAACTTGGGAGATGTATCTAACGGACTGCAGTCAAGTAATTTTGGTGTTAATATACAAACATACACCCCATCTTTAACTTCACAGACCAAGACTGGTGTAGGACCTTTCAATCCCGGTAGAATGAACGTAGCTGGTGATGTCTTTCAGAATGGAGAATCTGCAACTCATCATAATCCAGGTAGGTTATATCTGTATGTATATTTTTATCCTAAAACTTGGAAATTCTCGTAAAGCCAATTACATTCTGAGTTATTTTGCAACTATTTTAGTGCAGTTTTATAAAATTACGTTGTATGTTGCTTGAAAGGTTAACTTAAACCACACTTTTGTAATAAAAGTGCTTTAAACAATTAGTTTTTATTGACTACGATTATCTGGAACTTTGGGGCCTTTAAAAGAATTCCTATCTTTTGGGGCTGATAAGCAAATTAAATATATTGAGTACTGGATTTCTTTAAAATAAGGCAACCATGAGGCTGTAGTTAGATGCTCCAATATTATAGGTTATATAATATATGTTAAATATTGGAACAAATATATTCCAATATTGGAGGGGCTGTCACAGAAGAGTGGGACAACCTATTTTCCAAAGACCAGACAAGGAACAATGGATGGAAACTTATCAAGGAGAGATTCATCCTAGAAATGAGAAATTTTCAGACAGTGAGAACAGTCAACCAATGGAATATTTTGCCTTCAGAAGTTCTGGGTGCTTCATCACTGGAAGCTTTCAAGAAGAGACTGGACTGCCACTTGTAAAAAATGGTACAGGGTCTCCTGCTTGAGCAGGGGATTGGACTAGGTGACCTACAAGTCTCTTCCAACTCTGTTATTCTAAGTCTTCTAAAAATGTCTACATTTTACAGAAAGCGAAAGTGTGAAATTAAAAGAAAGGTAATTTAGCATAGAATCTAAAAAAAAACAACCAAATGGGTCACAATTGTAAAACAGAAAATCATTTAAACTCTTTTCTAGAAGTAAGCTTGAGAGAGAAGTTTACTGAAAAAATGATTTAACAGGATTTAATTGATATATCATTTTGCCTGTCTTACAAAAACATATGCAAGACAAACATTATCACATGCACATGGAAGAGCAAAACTATTCTCTGTTTCCCAACACTTTTCTTCCCTCGCATCCCAAGATATGCTCAATGCACCTACTTAGCATTTTTGTGCTTTTACTGGAAATTCTCATTAGAAACTGTCTGGCATTCTTAAGAATGAAAGATTGCATTGGAGTCTGGCAAATTGTTTTGAAAACTTCTTTTTTTAGCTGGGTAATTTGAAGTATAATCAATAATTATTGTGCAGGCTATCTACTGTAAAATGAAGCTGAATTCTTAGCATTTTTTCCATTTCAATAAGCATTAAATATATTTGGTGAAAATCTGTCAAGGTATAAGTTTGCTAATAAACATAAAATGAAACCATACTTGTTTAAATGTTTGCATATAGAACAGTGACGATGGCAATATAGAGATTTGCTGAGCTCCAATAGCTAAGAGTTACATACAGTAGGATTGAGCAGTGGGAATTAGGGAATGTGCTCACTCAAATAAATCACTAATGAACTACAGCGCAATGGTAGCACAGTGTATTGTGGTGCTTTGTAGTTTTACTTTTGAGTCATACTTTTAGCAAATTGTCAGACTGTAAATAAATTTAATAGTTTATTTTCATTATTTATAAGTAAACATATGTTAGTAAACAAATTTAATAATTTATTGCATTATTTATAAGCCATTGTTTAATACAATTTCTACATTACTTTGTGAGAGCTACATGTATTTTGAAATAGTCAAATATGTGTTAAAATGCCTGCCATGTATCTGATTCTTTTCTGAAATATTTCGAATCACAGCCAGCATATTGATAAGGATTTCCCTCCTCTGTATCATAACTTACCATTATTTTTATGTGTTAGCATTCTCTCTTACCTGGTGATAATATCAGGACTGGTTTTATACAGCAAGATTAGAATCTATACCATGCAACTACTACCTCACGTGTCTCGAAAGTACAAAGATGGAAGGAAAAAGAAGAAAATTGGATCTTTACCAGAATTAAAAATACAAAATAAAAATAAAGCATTGGAGAAATTCTTCTCCTCAAAGCTGTGGAACTATAGTAGTTGTAGTTACATTCTCAAAGTAGCTATTGATAATGCTTTGCTTAGTGTTGCTTTGCAGACCCTAAAATACACTTACAGGGTTGCAATGAAGGTTACAGCTAATTTTTGAGCTTGATGCTGTTCTCCATCAAGGGTTGAAGGCCATATACTTTCTTCTCCAATGCATTTCCCAACAGTGGGATCTCAGCTTTGAGCAAACATTTGCCATTTTTCTCTGCTGTGCGCTTCCTTATTTTCAGTGTGATGGAAGTAAACACAAAGAAAGCATTAAGATCAAAATAATTAAGATGCCAGGAATTATTGGGGGTAGAGACTGGATGTTAAATTTTGCATGTGCACAAAATAGAGACCTCAGTGTGCCAACAATTGTATGCGGTATCATTTACTCTGCCTAGTAAGATTCATGTCTACAGTTATCAATTTCAGATACCTGAAACCACAGCAAAAAATGTAGTTTTCACACAATTATTTTTCAGTGCATTCACATATAAACTTTCCAATGTTTCATGAGCATCACTAGCTTTTAAATAACATTCTTTAGGACAGGTATATGATATCTGCTTTACTTTTTGCATAATTGTTTGATGGTTTTGCAAATGTAGCAAAATAATTTGTGCAAACATCACTGAAGATGTGATGTTACTAAGGTGATCATTACTAGAAGTTAAAAAGATGAAAATACAACTATATTTTTGCCACATGAATAGAATTTGACTGCATTATCAATTGTTATGCAAGAAAGTGCAATACTAAATAAAGGAACCAAAATTACTGGAATGTAACCAATGGCAGAAAATGCTGACGAAGCAATGGTTTTTAATAGAAGATAAAAATAACCTTGAAAGCTAGAGATTGGAGTTGTGGATATGGTTAATAAAAGAGGTATGTATCAAATAGGCAGTATCTCAATGTCACACACAACAGAACTGCACCAATTGAAATGTTTTGCTTAAATGTTTCAAGTTGGTTGTGTTTTGTTGGAACAAAACTCAGAACAGCTCAAATGTTCTGTCCGAAAAGAAATGTTTTTGAGTCTCCTGACCATCACTGAGAACTTCAGAACAGCTTCCATTCAATAGTTTCTTATTTCAGATAGGCAATGTAGTAGTTTATATAAATGCTGCTTGTTAACCAGATTTAAAAAAATTAATTAACATTATGATTGTGAAATATTTTTTGGAACATTACAATGACATTACATTTCCTCAGAGAAAATAAATGTTGTCATCAACTGTTATCCAAAAAGTTAGCTCCACATTGTCTTCAACCAAAAGAAGAGAAAGAGGCTTTTTAAATTACTTCACATTTTTTATACCCATATTCTTTGGAAATATTTATTTATTTAGTACATTTATATGCGATCCATCTCATTTTGAAAAGTAAATATATAGACCAAGGAGAACAGTTAACACTTTTAAGTTTATCTAGCTTACTATATGTGTTGGGTTGTTTTGTTTTGTTTTTGTTATCTCTTAGAAGCCCACCAAAAGAAATTGTTTTCATTTTCCTGATACTTTTGCTTGCATGAACTAATAGCTGATAGTTACAAAAATAAAAAGGGAAGTATTGATGTTTTTAACCTTATGAGTAATATTAATGTGAGAGCATACACAGTATTACATCAACACTAAAAATATCCGAAGAAAATCAAGATTCTTTATATATGTACCATCTCAAAGGTAATAACAGTACTGTGTTACCTGCCTTTATAATATTCTGCTAAAGTCAAAGTTAAATTGGAATGAAATTAACATGCTACATCTGAACTGCAGTTGCAGAGATATAAAAAAATGTACCTCAAGTCAAAAGGTATTCCCAAAAGCAGGGAGCTAACACTGAATTATGGAAAGTATGCTCAAGTTAAAATAAAAGTAAAGATTTGTAGTTTAAAATCCTCTTGCTGATACTTAAGGTAAGTATTCATTACTTGTATATAATACAAATACAGAATGTAAACAATATAAGATGCTTTTCAGATACTGAATTATTCCTTTGTAAGATGTGGTAAGGCACTAGGGAAGTAGACAAACTTGAAACTTCTTTGGAAATTAACAGTCCTTTTTTCAATAATGGAAATTAAAATATAAAGCTTTATCCTTTTTCTTAAACTAAGGCTTAGAGGATATTTGTTTTACATGACCAATAAATCATTTCCATGTTGCCCTTATTTTCTCAGGCCATTGTCAAAAGTAATCTCAATGTTTAATTTGCTTTGTAGTATCATGTTAAATTTTGACAAGAATTTTACATAGGAACAATTCATATTTTAAAAGTTTTTGAAATGTTGATTTAAACAGTAATATGCTCAAAGTTACCATGATTTATAATCTTCAATTGCAATTTTAATGAGTTTTTTTAAAAAAATAGGGCTATATAGAAATTAGTGCAGTTCAATTCACTGTTAACAGTTAAACAATTTCTGTAGTTTTTACCTGCACTAGCAATGCAATACTGTGCTTTACTGTCAGATTAATGCCAGCCTATTGCCATTGTAAACTTCCTAAAGCTGTTTACATCATTTTGTATTTTTAAGATTCCTGGATATCTCAGTCAGCTTCATTTCCAAGGAATCAGAAGCAACCAGGTGTAGATTCCCTGTCTCCTGTGGCATCTCTTCCCAAACAAGTCTTCCAACCACCTGCACAACAACAACAACCTTCAAAGCAGGTTAAAGTTACATGCGCTAACTGCAAAAAGCCTTTGCAGAAGGGCCAGACTGCGTATCAGCGGAAAGGATCTGTTCATCTTTTTTGTTCTACTACTTGCCTTTCATCATTTTCACATAAACCAGCTCCAAAGAAACTCTGTGTTATGTGTAAAAAGTAAGGATTTTTCTTATTTCTTGATCATATTTGTTAAAACTATAGTCCCGTTAATTGTTCTAATAACTTTGTGAAATCCATTTTATTATTTAAGAGACAACAGATACTTTATGTTCTTTCATCATTTGTTTGCATAGTAATATAGTCCTGGGCAAAGGTTAAGAAGTAAAGTTTGTTATTGGGTAGTAATAATTTACTATAGTTGCTATCGTTTGTTCTGACATTTCATTGGAATTAAAATTAATAGTGAATGTAGACATAAGCATGGCTGTAAGTTATAGGTGTATAAGTCAAAAGTGCCCTGTTTTAATTTTTTTTTTAAAGGAGAAAAAGTCACATTTTCTAAATGGAAATTGGTTTGCATAAGTGATTAAAGTAAACTAGTAGTCAAATTGGAAGTTTTTTTATTTTATTTCTATAGCTACCTATATTAATAAGTGATCTATTAAGATTCTTATTTAAAACTGCTGTAATAATTATGATGCATTCAGATTTTGTTTAAAAAAACTGGTTATGAAGTTGGGCTTCATACAAGCCTATAGCTGTGCAGCCTTTGACCTTTATCTATTTTATTTAATACATGTAAATAGAAAAGCAAGATCTTTTGATTTTTGATGTTTATCAGCAATAAATAGGAAAAACATAAAGGAATAATTTTGTTTGTAGTGACATTTATTAGGTCACCATTTTTATCTCTTAATTTATCTCATTTCATCATTGTTTTCTGATTACTAATTGTGAAATGAAAAACTGGCTGAAAGAACTCATTCCTTTTCCAATGTCTCTATCTCAAAAGCAATATTCCCCTTTTTAATGTCAATCATAATCAAGAATTGCCAGTGTATCACTTCAAAAGTTGGTAATAAAACATACTGTGATACTTTCTGTCTCACTGACAGTTAATTCATTCTTGTATATACAAATATCAAAACATAAAAGGGGATAAATAGGGGTTGGAGGAAGAAGGTTGTTTGGGGTTTATATCTTGTTACATCAGTACAAGAAGATAAACATGTCAAAAGCTTCATAAAAGCAGGATGATAGAAATTACTTAGTATTTGGCCAATTATATTTGTTTTCCTCTGATTTTTTTTGTAGCACAATTGCTTTTTCAATAAATAGAAACAGGGACTCTTGTTAAGAAGTACACTATTTTCTGTTGAAATTGAATATTACATTCATAAAGAGCTGTTAGGTTTTTTTTAAAGAGCTGAAATTTCTGAGAAAAAAACATTCAATGGTTGCTGAATTACTAAGACATAATCATTTTGTTTTTCAGAGACATAACAACAATGAAAGGAACTATTGTTGCTCAGGTTGATTCAAGCGAATCTTTCCAGGAGTTTTGCAGTACATCATGTCTGTCTTTCTATGAAGACAAACAGAATCCCTCAAAAGGAATCTTAAATAAATCAAGATGCACTATCTGTGGCAAACTAACTGAGGTTTGTTTGCTATTTTTCACTGATTTTTTTTCTAAAATAAGTTTTATTTGAGTTGCTTAAGAAACTATTGATATAATTATATCATTGTTTAAAGAAAAACAGTGGATTATTTAGTTAAGGCTCCTTGCCCATGAGGAGTTCCTGTTTTCCCGAAAATAAGACCAAGCTGGATAATAAGCCCAATCGGGCTTCTGAGCACATGCACTAAAATAAGTCCTCACCCCCAAAATAAGCCCTCCCCGAAATATTTAAATGCATGCGCAGCCAGTTTCTATCATTTCTGGGATGGGACGGACATACCCAAATGCCCCTGCCATCCATGAGCAAATCTTACCTATCACGTCCCTTCCCTTAGTGGTTAAGGGTCCTCCCTGCACCTCAAAAATAAAAGACCTCCCTGAAAATAAGGCCAAGTGCTTATTTTGGGGGTCAAAAGAAAATAAGACCCTTTCAGGGAAACACGGTATCACGTTTCATCTCTTGACAAATACTCATACTAAGTAGAAGACATAAAAGTTCTATAGTTGAATGAGTATAGCATCCTATTGACCCATGGAAATTCTGTGAGAATTTCAGATTTGTTTTAAAAATGTTTAAATATTTCTTAATTGGAACATTTGAGCATGCAGCCCCACGCACGCGCGCGCACACACACACATACACACACTATCTGCAAGAATACATAGTCTATTTTTCAGAGGGAGGAAAATCAGTTGCATACCAAAGTTGTGCTAATTGGTTGCTGTCCAAAGAAAATAAGGACTATTAGGACAAGCAGAGTTTGAGAAAAAGCAAGTAGCTTTATGTTTGAACATTGAAATTTAAGGGCATTCTTATATTTGTGGTTTTTTTGTAAACTCTTGTTAACATCTGTGAACATCATTAATGAAATTTTATGTAATTTTGGGTAACTGATAAATGCATTATCATGATTTACATTTTTTTAAAAACCTATAATTACAGGACTATTTAATTTCTGTAGTGACTCAACATAGGGATGATAAAGCAGCATGTCCTTTGTCATTATAATCTTTATAACAGAAGGTTAGAACTTAGTGCCATCTCCTTTTTAACATAAGGGATTTTCCCAAATTGTTATATGATGAATTTTGTATACAGCTAAAGTGCCTAACATCTATACTTTAAATGGCAGTGTAAGCTTTTATTTCTGAAATGGCAGATTCCAAGGTTGCTTAAACAATTAATCTAAAGTTATGCTTGAAATTCATAATTAAAATAAAAGTAGATCTTCATATAAAACTAAATTTTTGCTTTTAGATACGCCATGAAGTTAGCTTTAAAAACATGACTCATAAGTTGTGTAGTGATCACTGCTTCAATCGATACCGAATGGCAAATGGTTTAATCATGAATTGTTGTGAGCATTGTGGAGAATACCTTCCAAGTAAAGGTGCAGCAAACAATATTCTTATGGTTGATGGAGAGCCGAAAAGATTCTGTTGCCAAAGCTGTGTTAGTGAATATAAACAGGTAACTTCTACATTTACTTTTATGTAACACATTGTAAAATCTTCAGTTAGATTGTATCATTTCAGTCAAGCGTTGTGCTTTTTGTTGTTAATTTAGAAGCATGTTTGCTAAAGTATGAAGACAAAATAAGAATATGTTGTGAATACTGATTGGAGTAGTATTTCTATAGGTTCTTTTCACTTGGATTCGTAAATTATTATTTTGCTTTTTACAGTAAAACTATGTTCTATAGCATTCTGTTATTCACAGTAAGCGAGGTTTCATTTTTTTTATCACAACCTAGAAATTATGTGCTTCATTTTAGAAATTCCCAGTTGTTTTGAAATGAATACAAAAAAAAAGAACCCCTATTACCCTACAAGTTTTGTCTACCTGCACGTGTCTCACCAAGGATCTTGAAAGAGAAACAGTAGTTGACTTTTTCCAGATGCAATTATTATTTTGAATGTGTCCCCCTTTCTGTGAATAGTTCATCTGTAACTATGAAGCTAAATTGTCACAACTAAATTTCTACAGCAGGCTCTCTAGACATCATAACCAATAATTTCCAACAATATAGCTGCGCTTACACTGTTAGTGTTTTTGTTTTCTGAAGTTTTGGGTGCTATATTTCTGTTTTTACATCTCTAGGGGGGGGGATTAGTTTCAGTAGCCTGAAGTTATTCCATCCAGTTTTTCCTGCTTCCCTGTATCCCAGTTCTTTCCAAAGTATTTTCTGATCCTCAGAAGATTCTTCTCTGGAAGCACAGATTCTTGGAGGTCAGGAAAGTTTCTGTAACAGAAACTTCCTTTTGCATTGAGTGTAATCTTTGAACTTTAGCCTAGTACAATGTTTTTTCAAGATACTTTTTAGAAGATCCTATTTTAAATGAAGGATTTTCTGGGTTTTTTTTTAATGAAAATTTTTAGCTAGTTTTTTAAAGATACATTACAGTGAGTGAAAATACCCTAGAATTTCTGTATAATTTATCCTGTTCGAAATGTTGAGATGCTGCTTATATTTTTGATAATATGCAACCAGCACTTTTAGAAACATAACACAGGCCTTGTTGTTTTATTACACAGCAAAACAAAAGGGGCAAAATAGGTTATCCAAGATACTAAAAATGATAGGCATACAGAGAAGCCACGGAGAAACTTGGAGAAGCCTTGAATAAGATTTCATGAAGCAACCCAAAAGATACAAGAATAACATGCATTGCAGAAATTCCAAGTGAACATGAAATGTGGTTAAATGATAACTCTGTATCTCAGTTTATTGTGACTTGTACATTTTTTTCACCTGTATAGATACTTCATGCTATTTTACCATATTATCCCATATGTTTTCAGAAGAGTGAGGTCATTTGATATGTATAGAGGCCATTCTAAATTAGTATTCGAATCCTTGATTTTTTTTTAACTTTGGGATCTATATTTGGAAGTTATATGGGATAGAATAACACATAAAATAGTTTAAATATGTAAGTGATAGTGGGATGAAGGATTTCAGTATCTATAAAATGAAAAAACTGCATTGAGTTGTCATTAAGCACTGTTATGGTAACTTTTTTCTGGTGCTTTTTGACTTCAGTGGATAATATATTTTACCATTACAATTCAATAGGGTTGTATGTTTTATAGTGAAATATAGTAGGCTTACTTTCCTTTATTATTGCTTATTCTCAGAAGCTATTCTAATGAATAAATTTTCTATATTTCACTGTAAGCAACTATTGGATCTTACCATAAGAGAAAGTCATAAATTTCCATTGCAGTTAATATCTAGGCATGTAGTTGATTGTATATGCTTCTGACATGCCCCAATGAAACAAGCAAGCATTATAGTATATGAATAATATTATATGGAGATACTTATATTATTCTTTTATCTCTCTATATATGAAAATTTATTCATTAGAATAGCT